TAACGTGAATGGGACACGCTTCGGAATCACTGCTAATCTTTGTTAGCATGCTATTTTCTTTTCAGCTTGAGCTGGCTCCTCTACACAAGCTTTTCAAAATCTGCACATGATCGGCAGTCTGTCTGGAGCTGGCTCCTCTGTTAACTAGTCAATGTGGCTCCTTCCTACAAGGCAGAAGCATAACTCAGTCAAGTGAGAGGCAATGTAACATTGTAAATTATGATTATCACACACCCTGTTGGGAGCCAGATAGATCCAGAGAGACTGCAGAGCATTTGCAGATTTTGAAAAGCCTATGCATTCATTAACAGGAAGAAAAAAAAAGTTTTTAACCTTCATTCACTGAATCAAGCATAACTGATTCAGTGTTCCCTTTCTGAATCTGCAGACAAACTTACACAATGACTCTGAGCTGTGACCTCCCCTGCCCTGGTTAATGTCACTGAGGTGGCAGGAGTGAATTGGAAATTGTTACAGAGAAGGAATTGCAAATGGGAGAACAGAAAGCAGGCAAAAAGATAACGAGAGAGAGAGAGAGAGAGAGAGAGAGAGAGAGAGAGAGAGAGAATGTGTGCATGTGAGAGAAAGAGAAAGGGAAGATGGGTTATGGAAGAGAAAAAGGGGAGATGCAGTCATAAATGTGAGCATATGTTACCCACTGAGCGAGAATAGCACAACAAAACACCAAACCAATTACGATAACAACTAAAAGTTCACTTTCGACTGAAGACCACAGCATAACTGTGAGAGTCGCCATGAAGGCAAAGCATATGTAATCATAAATTTATATCTACTCTCACAGATCACAATTGGAAATAGAATTTGGCTCTCACACAGAATGCATTTGACACCTCCATTGTGGATAATGTTATCAAACTCTTCCTTGGAATGGAATATATCTCCTCTGAAGGGCTCTCAGATGATGGAGGCCTGAGGAGTGGAAGGCTGAATTTGACATGGATTAAGAGGTTTAATTTTATTTCAAGCAGATTGTAAAAAATTTAACAATACAGATACAGATGTATCCCTTAGCCTTCGGTGGTTGAGCATTTTAGAATTTATCATGAATTCTGAATTTCATTTATATTTATCTGTGAACTACATAAATCAAGTCTTTCCCACACTCCGGCTGTGTCTACATTGGGCCACTTATTCCGGAAAATCAGCCGCTTTTCCGGAATAAGCTGCGAGCTGTCTACATTGGCCCTTGAATTTCCGGAAAAGCAACGACGCTCTACTATACAATATCAGCCGCTATTCCGGAAAAGCTACGCTGCTCCCGCTCGGGCATAAGTCCTTATTCCGGAACACTGTTCCGGAAAAGGGCCAGTGTAGACAGCCCAGTAATCTTTTCCGGAAAAAAGCCCCAATCGCGAAAATGACGATCGGGGCTCTTTTCCGGAAAAGCGTGTCTACATTGGCCACAGATGCTTTTCCGGAAAAAGGGCTTTTCCAGAAAAGCATCTGTGGCCAATGTAGACGCTCTTTTCCGGAAATACTTATAACGAAAACTATTCTGTTTTAAGCATTTCCGGAAATTCATGCCAGTATAGACGTGGCCTCCAAGTTTATCCAAGTTATTCTGAGTATTCATGCCGTTTTCTTTCATATCAACTCTCCACTCAAAAAACTGTATTGTCAATAACCATGAATCAACTTAATGTACATATCTTGTTCCAGGTACCTGACATCTGTTCAAACAAAATTCCTGTTCATCATGACCCTTATTGTCACCCTCCTCATTTACATATTGTTTCCAGTCACATGTGCACTTTGCTTGATATCTTACTGCATATGCTATATTTTCTGCCACTATATATTATTTTTTTCCAGTTCTGCAGCTTGGAGTATGCACAAAAATTTTATACTGAGCATGTTTTCTGCCTTTTTTCTTCCATTCTTTCTGTCTCCCTTCCTTCCTTCCTGAGCACAAAATGCAGTCTCCAGAATTTAACAAAAGTATTTCTCCCTGAAGTTCACGTACTAACGCTCTCTGTTAAGTAACAGTCAGTAGACTATTACGTTTTCAAGATTCCTGTTGGATTTGTTCAACCTGCCCTTTTGCAAATCTCAGCTGACTACCACAGATTTCTAAGGTTTTTATTTGTCCTGCCTTCCATTTGGCTCTTGATATTTCTGGAGTGACATGTATTTCAGTCCAAGAAGGCAAAAAATAATCACTCTGAAAATGTTTACAGGGGAACTTCATAAACGTTGCAACAAAACACATCCCTTAAATGGCCCCTACCAACAAAGAAGCCTGGACAGAGAGCTAAGTCGAACTGGCTTTTAGGTTTGTAAAACCTGCCATGCCTCTTTTCATTATCACTGATGTTCCAGCCTTCAGAATTAATCCCAGCTTTTATTTCCTTGTTCATGTTTTAAGTAGAAATTTCCACCTCTTACTTTTGTGAAAATATCTCAGAGAATATAAACTGATCACTACAGTGAAACCTTTGCCAGTGACTTTACTAAATATCCAATGAATTCATTACCTTGGACAGAGCCATGAGGACACAAATCCACATCCTCAAGTCCCTTAATTTGTGGAGGACCTAGGTCTGATCAAATAACAGTTGTCAGAAAAAAAAACATATTTTGCTTATTTCACACCATTTGTGACCAAGTCATTCAACATTTTGACCCATTATTCACCCAGCTCTGGGAAGATTCCAGACTCACAGATGTCTACGTCTAGACTGCATCCCTCTGCCGACAGAGGGATGCAAATCAAGCACGTCAAAAATTGCTAATAAAGCAGGGATTTAAATATCCCGCGCTTCATTAGCATAAACATGTCCGCAGCTTTTTTTGAAATGAAGCTTTTTCGGAAAAAAACCCGCAGTCTAGACGCAGATCTGTCGAAAATAAACCCTTTTTCGACAGATCCTGTAAACCTCATATTTACAAGTCTTTTGCACAAAAAGGAGCTGAGCAGATGGCTCTTTTTTGCTCAAAATCCCTCCCTTGCGCAAGAGCTGTTCTTCCTGAAAAAATGAGGAAGAACGGCTCCTGCGCAAGAGGGTTTTTTTGTGCAAAAAGGAGCCATCTACACAGCTCCTTTTTGCGCAAAAGCCTCTTGCACAAAAACAGCTGCTAATTAATTATGCAAATGAAGTGCAGAGATATTCTACTCCGTGCTTCATTTGCATAAGCTTTTGCGGAAGAAGGCTGCAGTATAGACGTAGCCTTAGTGTTTGAAAAATTCTGTAAGTGGCAAAATCAGTGCGGGGGAAATTCAGCAATCTTACTATAGCTCCAAATGCAAAAAATGCAGAATTCCCCCACAACTATTACATTCATCCAAATGCATATAACCCCCATCCACCTCCACAGGTCTGGAAACGCCCAGCTCTCAGGCTTATTTAGATAACTGTCCATTGCAAAACTGTACGTGACACACATTGGAAATTATGCATAAACAGAAAGGAAAGCAGGTTGGCTCTACTTCTCCGGCAGCTGAAGGCACTGTGACCTGAAGACTTCTTCCTTTCCCCTTTATATAAAATGGGTCAGTTTAATCTTGGAGCATGCTAAGGAATTGTTTTGTTGAGACTCCCCAAATCCCTGTGCTGAGCACTGTTATCAGGAAGGACAGAATTGGTTAGGTTTGTGGGGCGGTGGGAGATGAAAATTGTTTTTCAGACCCATCCAGCAATGGCAGGATTATCTTTGAGGTATAAAATCCCAGGCTAACATTCCCACCACTCTGCGCAAGACATGCAGACTTGAGCTGAGACAGGCATATCGCAAACTGCCACCTCTCTCTCTGTTAACAAATGAGGAAACATCCTTAGAATGAGTTTTCATTACATAGAAAAGAAACATAAATTAGAACATTTCATCCCGAGTGGAAGCAAGAACCTATTTTATTTCTCAGACAATACCAGGAAATCTTGAATACGTGTTCTCCTATTCCCAGAGGAATACGGGATTCTGACATTCTATTGTTAGATTATTTACTTTAGTCTAAAAAGCTTTCTAATTTGGTCCAAAGGCCTTGGATAAATTAAGATAACATCAATATGTCTGCTCCAATATATTTTTAATTGCTACTTTGCTCTTTGCTAGTATGGTTTTGATCAAGAATATGTAGCTAACTGTCACAATTTGCATTCTTAAAGTTAAACAGGAACTATTAATGTAATTAGCTAAACACTATTTACAGTGCACTATATCACAGAATGCCACTGTATGTTTTAATGTTGGCTTTGTTCTGAAGCAGATGTAGAACACTTACTGGCTATTGCTACATTTACACACTGAGCCTGCAATTAGACTTGCCAGTGCATACTTGTGCACCTACAAGAAACCATATTGATTTCAAACTGGGCTCCATTAGGGGACAAAGATCACTATTAGTGTATTTAACTACAGAATTGGGATCTGTTTCTATACATTCATATTGAATGAAGAATTTAACCCTTGCATTTCTTTCAATATGGGAATATCCTGTTTTCTCCCGTAACAGCAGCCATTGTTTTTACACATACCACAATGTGCCAGGCCTTATAATGTGCAACACACTCTAGAATGTGAAAGGACCAGCAGACCCTAGCCTGAACCATTTACAATGAATTCTAACTATAGATAAAACACCATTTTTAAAAGCTCAAATAAATTACATATGCTCAAAACAAAACAAGATCAAAACAAGAAGATTTACAATAATCTAACCCACTTGTCTAGTGCTTTTGATTTGGCCTGTACTCAGCTTGAGTAAATCAATGTAGTTCCAGTGACCACAAAGAATTTACATTAATTTACATAAGGTGATGATTTAGCTGTCTTACCATATCTACTGACATGAATGTATACTTTTAAAGTATACAACTCTTAGATTTCATGGGACCAAGGGTTTTTATTCTGGAAACATTTATGACATTAGTAAGAAACAATCTTGAAATGTTTTATTACCAAACACAGTTTTCAGTAATCTAACTTTACAGCGAACTATGAATACAGGGCATTAATTTTCTCAAGAAAATGAAAATACTTACGAAAGGACATTCCCAATATAGGCATAATACGAGCAGCAGTAGGAGGTAGTCCCATCACAGCAATAAGCTTTGCAGTCATTGTCACACTGAGCAAGACAATCTTCTGCAGAATAAAAATAACTTTAATGCAGTCATAATAGTAAAAAACTATATACTACAGCTTTAAGGAAGATGCATTGTAGCAGAGTTTTTTTGTATTAAATCAGTCACTGACAGGACTTAACTTGAGTTTTCATCTGACCCTGCAGTCCAAATTCCAGAAGAATTTCAACTGGCTTGAATAAGGAGTACAACTGTGCTCACTAACCAGTAGATTGGGATCTACTGGAAGATCATGGAACCTTTAACAGGTGATCCTGAGAAGTTTGCTCTGGAAGCTATCAAGTGCCAGCACTTCATCTGCCCCTCTCAGCACTGCTGTGCTGCTCCTGCCCTCTGCCTTGGAGGTGCCCCTCATCCCTGGGAGCCTCCTGCTTGCTGTGCAGGGCACAGGGAGAAGGGGGGGGGGGGCTGATGTCAGGGTGCCCCTCCCTCCACCCTGTACCCTATCTCCACAGAGCAGAGGGGGGCAGGGATGGGGAGAGTTTGCAGGCTGCTTTTGAGAGTGGTGCAGGGCCAAGGCAGGGGTGAGTCTGCCTTAGCCTCCTGCACCACCACCCAGAAACCACCTGTGTTAAGTGGTGCCCAGCTGGAGCCTACATTCCAAACACCAGAAACAGTCCTGAGCCCCTCCTGTACCTCAACCCCCTGCTCCAGAACCGGCCCAAGCTACGGGCTGAACGGGCGATAACCTGGAGTGCCCAATTGTAAGGGGTGCCATGTGGTGCTGCCAGGCTGGGCAAGGGCAGGGCTGTACATGCGCTGCGCGCCCGGGGCGGGGCTGTGCATGCGCCACACGCCAGGGGCCTGGGGCGCAAGAATGGCTCGGGCCAGCTCTGCCCTGTCCCCAGCCTGATAAAAGTGAGTGATAGGGAGGGAGGATGGCATGAGAAGGGGCGAGGCCTCAGATAAGGGGCACAAAAGAGGCAGGGCAAGAGTGTTTGGATTTGAGGTAGATTCTAGATTGCACATAAATTAAAAAAGTCATCTAATGCTTACAAAGGTTGGAGACCACTGGAGTAAAACTTCAGGAGCCATTCAGTAGTCTTTCTAAGCTGCAGCACAGCCTCACAGGTGATAAACCAGCTCCCTCCCAGTCAGTCAGCTCCTTGATAGAGCCCTGAGGCTCTGACTGGCTGGGCTGATTAATCACCTATGAAGCAGCAGCTTAGAGAGATCTCTGGTGCCATTGTTTATCTGTATTTTGCAGTGTTGTTATATGGGCTGTCTCCCCGTTTTTTAAAAAAGAATTTCAAATTTCTACAGATTACCTTTTTATATTTTAACAATAAACACAAAGAAATATCTAGGGACAGATTCTGTTTCACTGAGTTGGATTCTGGAAGAAGCAGAGAGTGAGGCTGTGTGGGAGCTGATGATAAGTCTTTGAATCCCTATCTAAACTCCAGCCATAGGTGTAAGCTAGAGCAGTCTGGGGGCTTCTTTGAGCTGGGCCATCTGGCAATGGAACTTAAGGCATCATCTGCTAGCTAAGAATAACTGGAGTATTTCCACTCTTCCCCACTAACCCTGCCCTCAGTTCATCCTTTGTATTTGAGGCTGCAAACAAGGTAGTATAGGAGCTGGCTATGCCAGCATAGAACACCTTCAGGCCAGGGAACCTCTTAACTACAAGGATACAGCAACTTTTGCCTTCATTCCTCCCAGTCTTTTAATATGTCGTTTTCAGGAATGACAGGATAATCTAACTGTAAAAAAAGAAAATCTAGATTTGAGTTTAACAAATAGGGAGGAACTGGTTGAGAATTTGAAAGTGGAAGGCAGCTTGGGTGAAAGTGATCATGAAATCATAGAGTTCATGATACTAAGGAATGGTAGAAGGGAGAACAGAAAAATAGAGACAATAGATTTCAGGAAGGCAGATATTAGTAAACTCAGAGAGTTGGTAGGTAAGGTCCTCCGGGAAGCAACACTAAGAGGAAAAACAACTGAAGAGAGTTGGCATTTTTTTAAAGAGAAATTATTAGGGGCCCAAAAGCAAACTATTCTGTTGTGTAGGAAAGATAGAAAGTATGACAAAAAGCCATCTTGGCTTAACTAGGAGATCTTGCATGATTTAAAAATCAAAAAGGAGTCTCATAAAAAGTGGAAAGTAGCACAAATTACAAAGGATGAATATAAGAAACAACACACGTATGCAGAGGGGACAAGATTAGAAAGGCAAAGGCAAAACTAGCTCAATCTAGCTATAGACTTAAAGGGTAACAAGAAGACATTTTATAAATATATTAGAAGCAAGATGAAGAGCAAGGATGGGGCAAGCCCATTGCTCAGTGAGAAGGGAGAAACAGTAACAGGAAACTTGGAAATGGCAAGAACAACGTAAAGTCCTGTGGCAACTTGTAGACTAACAGATATATTGGAGCATAAGCTTTTGTGGGCAAAGACCAACTTTGGCTTATGCACCAATATATCTGTTAGTCTATAAGGTGCCACAGAACTTCTTGTTCTTGCAGATTGAGACTAACATGGCTAACCCTCTGATACTCGGAAATGGTAGAGGTGCTAATGACTTCTTTGTTTCAGTCTTCACCAAGAAGTTTGATAATGAAGGGATGTCTAGCATAGTGAAGGCTAGTGGACATGCGGTTGGGTTAGAAATTAAAAATTACTTAGAAAAGTTAGATGTCTTCAAATCACCAGGGCTGATGAGATGCATCCTAAAATACTCAAGGAGCTGATAGACGAGGTATCTGAGTCTTTAGCTATCATCTTTCAAAAATCATGGAAGTCGGGAGAGATTCCAGAAGACTGGAAAAGGGCAAATATAGTGCCCACCTATAAAAAGGGAAATAAGAACAACCCAGAAAACTACAGACCAGTCAGTTTAACTTCTGTGCCAGGAAAGATAATGGAGCAGGTAATTAAGGTATTGATCTGCAAACATCAGGAAGAAAACAAGGTGATAGGTAATAGCCAGCATGGATTTGTAAAGAACAAATCATGCCAAACCAATTTGATGGCTTTCTTTGATGGGATAACAATCCTTGTGGATAAGGGAAAAGCAATGGTCGTGGTATACCTAGACTTTAGTAAGGCATTTGATACAGTCTCCCATGACCTTCTTATCAATAAATTAGGCAAATACAACTTAGATGGGTGCATAGCTGGCTGGATAACCGTTCTCAGAGTAGTTATTAATGGTTCACAGTCATGATGGAAGGACATAACAGCTATGTCTACACTGCAGAGTTTTTGTGCAAAAACTTGCAGAGAGTCCACACTACAAGAGTGTTCTTGCGCAAGAAAAAGTTCAGTAAATCATAAGAACACAGGGCTTTTTGCTCCTGAGTTATTCCTCTTTCTATGAGGAGAGCTCTTGCGCAAAAAGGCATGTGTAGATGGGCAACAAACCCCTTGTGCAAAAAACCCTATGGCTTTAAAATGGCCATCAGAGCTTTCTTGCGCAAGAGAGCGTCCACACTGCCATGGACGGTCTTGCGCAAAAGCACATATCTTGCGCAAAAGCACATGGCAGTGTGGACGTGCTCTTGCGCAATAACTTTGTGTGCAAGAACTCTTGTGCAAAAAGTTCTTGTGCAAGAAGCCTGCAGTGTAGACGTAGCCAACAGTGAGGTTCTGCAGGGGTCTGTTTTGGGACCGGTTCTGTTAAATATTTTCATCAAAAATTTAGATATTGGCATACTGAGTACGGGTCTCAAGTTTGCAGATGATAACAAGCTGGGAGGGGTTGCAACTGCTTTGTGGGATAGGGTGATAATTCAAAATGATCTGGACAAACTAGAGAAATGGTCTGAGGTAAATAGGATGAAGTTTAATAAGGACAAATGCAAAGTACTCCACTTAGGAAGGAACAATCCATTTCACACATACAGAATGGGAAGTGACTATCTTGGAAGGAGTACTGCAGGAAGGGATCTAGGGGTCATAATGGACCACAAGCTAAATATGAGTCAACAGTGTGACACAGTTGCAAAAAAAGCAAACACGATTTTGGGATGCATTAACAGGAGCATTGTGAGCAAGACATGAGAAGTCATTCTTCCTGCACTAATCTACTCTGCACTGATTAGGCCTCAATTGGAGTATTATGTCCAGTTCTGGGCACCACATTTCAAGAAAGATGTAGAGAAACTGGAGAAGGTCCAGAGAAGAGCAACAAAAATGATTAAAGGTCAAGAAAACATGAGCTATGAGGCAAGGTTGAATGAACTGGGCTTGTTTAGTTTGGAAAAGAGAAGATTGAGACAGGACATGATAGTGGTTTTTGGATATCTAAAAGGGTGTCACAGGGAGGAAGGGGGGAATTGTTCTCCTTGAAATCTCCATCACTGGAGATATTTAAGAGCAGTTTAGATAGACATCTATCAGGGATGATATAGCCCACACTTGGTCCTGCCATGAGGGTAGGGGATTGGTCTTGATGATCTCTTGAGTTCCCTTCCAGTTCTAATGTTCTGTGATTCTATGAAAATCAAAAGGCTAGCAAAAAAAGAAGAGTACACGTATTAAAAAGAGAGATCAATAAGGCTAGCAAGGACAATATATAGTCTAATCCAGGAATGAGCAAGATATCCTCTGTGGGCTGCATCATGTCCGCCAAGCCTTTTGATCTGGCCCATGGCACTCCCTGCCAGGACTCCAAGGGATGCTCCCTACTTGCTGCAGTCCAAGGCTGCTCAAAATGGCTGGAGACTCTATCTAGGTGCTGTGCACCAACTAGGTGGGGAATCTTTGTGTGAAGCCCTCACCCACAGTCCAATCATAGCAGCTCCCATAGGCTGGAAACCAGGATACCTCGAATATGTGCTCTCCAGAGATCAGCCAATGGTAGTGACAATGCTTGGTCTAGGGCAGGGGTGCCCAAACTCTTTTCAAAGAGGGCCAGATTTGATGAAGTGAACATGCGTGAGGGCCGACCATTTTGCCTGACATTCTTTGAACCATTAAAATTAAATGCAAATTAACTATTTTATGCAAAGTTTATTGCAAACGGCATACTTTTCATTTCGTCACATGGAT